CCGCCGCGGTGGCGCTAACTCCCCATCCCGCAGCTCCGAGCCGGCGCCGCGGACTCCCGGCTCCTCAGCCCAGCGGATGCGGTGGTTGCAACAGGAGGGTGAGGAGGAAGCCCTCAAACAGATAACTTTTTATTGAAAGACAGTTGATTTACAAGTTGTGTTAGTTTCAAGTGTACAGCAAAGTGACTCGGTTATTTATATCTATATTTGTATTTATATTCTTTCCCTTTATAGGTTTTTAAAGATACTGATTTTAATTCCCTGTGCCATACAATAGGTCCTTGTTGTTTATCTGTTATATACAGTAGTGTGTATCTGTTAATTCCAAACGCCTAATTTATCCCTCCCCTCAAACACCTGCTCATTTCATGGCCCTGCTCAGATGGAGGCTCCTCTTGGAATCCTTCCTGCACCCATCAGGGAAAATAACTTCCTCCACCCTCTGAGCTCCCATAAAACCATGTGCATACAAGGGTTACTACTTCCATCACACATTTAGGTTCCAGAAGTTACTTGGGGATCAAGACTACATTCCATGTGTCTTGATATATCCTGTGATTAACACAGTTTCAGGAACAGAGGGCACAGGCCATAAACGGCTGGTTTACAAAGATAAAATTCTCATTTTACATAATGAAATGCAAGCACTGGGAATGTCAATGACAGTTGTGTGTAGAAAATAGCACAGATGTGAATAAACGCAAGATTCTAGAAACCGAGGTTGGCATCCCTTATGCAACCCCAGGTATTCATTCTTTTGTAATTCTTTGATAGAGTTTACAGAAAGCCCTCTGAGTTTTTTCAGGTTGTTAGTTGGCATGGAGTGGAAGCAATAATCAGATCCAGATTAAAAATAGAGAAAGTAAATTCAATGCAAGTGGAGCAAAGGAAAAAACTCAAGAAGAACTTAGCAAACTGCTTTAACGTTCTGCAGAATTTTGAGCAGTAAGAAATTCAAAGACTCAAGTTTCCAGCATCAGGAGGCGATGAGATGGAGAATCTTTATGTGAAGAGGAACAGGGGACATTAGTAAAAACCTAGAGGAACCTGGGTTCCTCCTTTGCAAACAGCCCTCCCTGGCTCTGTTTGTTCCAAGTATTAGGCCTCTCTATGTAACATGGCCCTTTGGTGGGCTGGAATATGATTAAAAAGAAGGGGGTTGGGGAGAGACTGAACTGGTCTGAAGAGTCTTAGGAGATTTTGATACCTGAGGCCATAGTACCTTCAGAGCTTGGATAAAGGCATCTTACTGTGTTCAAAATGTAAATCTGGAACAAGAGTTGCATGAGAAAAAGAAGGTAACACATTGCACTTTCCTCCTGATTTTAGCCCTTAACACAGAGCTTGGCACATCTAATGCAGTCAGTAAAGAATTCCATTAATTCAGAGATAAAAAATAATTGCCATATCATAAATAAATCTTTTCTCATTATACACCTTTCCCTCCTCTCTCTTTTCCCTCTCTCTCCATCCCTTTCTTCTCACATTTCTTCTTCACGGTCTAGGGAAACTTCAAAAACCACTGACAGAGGCTTCCAGAAAGTTCTCCCTTGAATCAGTTCCTATTACAGGGCAATATATTAGAAATGGTATTTCTAAAAGGCACGGAGAAGTTAATAATGAACCCAACTTTCCTTCTTGAGATTCCTCTCCTGAGTCTGGATTGGAAACTGCTAAATTAGTGGTTAAACAGTGGAGACCCGGATCACTACATCTGAGATCACATCATCTATCCTCCTAGCGGCCCCAGTGGAAGGAAGAGAGCGTGCACTGAGACACAGACAGTTGTAGACCAGACACAGTCACTTCAGGGAACACTGAGTCCCGACTGCAGCCAAGCACAGAGGGAAGTACTGGGAAGAGGGAGGTAAAGTCAAGACGGCTCCCACTGCTGCAGGGGACTGAGAATGACTGAGAATCCTGTATGGGTCGTGTTTGAGGGAGTCGTTCCCCTAGTTACATACAGTCGCAGTGAAACCTGCATCTCTTTTCTCCTCTCCTATCCTGGAGCACAGACGTTGTGCGAATCCCTACATAGGCCCTTGGATGGTCAGCCCTGATGAAAGCGTGTGTCATCGGGTGATCTCCTTGGACAAATCATGCGCTGGCACTCATTTCACAAAACACAATGTGTGCCTATAGTTTGGGTAGTGGCATTTCAGGCCATAAGCTCAGCTATGTGACTAGTATTCTGAGGGCACGAGGCTGTAGGAATGATTTAGTCCAGCTCTTCTTCAATTAGAATCTGGACTGTGGAATCTTGGTTGATCCTCCTTGTATCCCTTTCTTCATCTGCAAAATAATGAAAACACACATTTACTCACATTACAGAGGAACGTGCTAACGAAGCATCTGAATGTGCTAACTGAAAACTGGCACTTGCTATCTGCCTCTGCTTGGATTAAATCACGAACTGCTGCAGTCACTGACCTCCAACAACCCCTGAAAGGAGTTTAGGGTGGAGATCACGAATGAGGCCTTCTGTGCTCTGGGAAAACTGGCTGAACAGGCCTTCAGAGAGTTAGATATTTTCAGAAGAGGATTTTTTGACCCCAATTCTTGTGTCTCCTCGTATCTAGAAAAGCACTAAAATCATTAATGGTGACAACTGCTCCTCGTGACTAGCAGCAGCCTCTGCCTAAGTGTGTACTTGACTGCACGTACCCCCTACCCTTCACTGAAATCATATATCATACTGAGTTTACTCCCTGCCTCTTTGGGGCAGTTTCTCAGAGCTTTCTGGGATGCTGTCTCCCGGGCTATAGTCCTCATTTTACCCCAAATAAAACTTGACCCACAACTCTCACGTTGTGTGATTTTATTTCAGTTGACAAGTGAAAGGTGTTCTTATAGAGATAATATCACTTAGCTCAGGTAACCACAAGTGCTGTTTGACAACCATATAGGATGTGGTCACTAAAAATGGTCCAAAGTAAACATACTCATTTACTCAGAATGTTCTAAAAACATGCATTTCTAGACAGGGATAATGACAGAGGTCCTTAGGGATGCAAAGGGTGAGAACTACCAGAAAGGAAGCCCCCTTCCACCTTTCACACCCGAGAGTACATATTTTACTATGGAAACAACGTTAGCATCTAGAAGATGAGCCTGGTAATACAGATAGGTTATCCTGGATGACTGTCACTGGTTTGGAGATGAAGAAACAGAGGAAAGAAGAAGAAAGAATTTATCCTGAACATAATGTGCACCCCAGCTCCCTCTAAGAGGTGGCCCGGAATAAATGGGAATGCTTGGCTTTTAAGGGGGACACACCTGGTTCTGCCACTATGGTCCGTTAATTATGTGGGCCTCTGTTCGCTCATCTTAAAAATGAGCATATTAGTATCTACCATGTGGGTCGTCATGAGGGTTAAATGAGTCAGTATAAATATAGTGCTTACCCCATAGAAGTTGCTTGAAAATGAAAGCTCGCATTTTGCTCTAAAATTTTCTGTATGTGATTGGAAACTAAATTAGTTGCCCTTACTTGTATCTCAATTTATGTGACACATATAAACAGTATGACTTTTGCTCTCTCCAGTATTAAAAGATCAGAACTTTGAAACAATAATGCTGACTTCCCTATATGCAGAGAAGTTACTGGGCTCTTAATACAAGGAAACATCCCCTTGGTCAGGTTGTTATGTTCTGAAAAATAATGTCTCCCAGACTTCCTTGGGGCCAGTGATGTCAGGTGCACCTGGAAGATTTGGTGTCACCAACCCACATCTCCTCCCACCCCACACCATGCAGGAGCTTCAGTGCTCAGGTCGTAGGAACATTGATAATGTATGCAAGTGAGCTTGTCAACAGCTGAATACCCAGGGTTTGTTGTTGCTATTTTGTTCCAGGATATATATTCCAGCTCGTTTACAGCAGTAAAAGACTGGAACAAATTGTATGATTGTATCTATGATTAAATAGCCATAGAACAGAATATCATGCAGCCATTAATTCGAGTGAAGTATATCCTTTGCCAAAACATAGTCAGTAATGAAAAAAGAAGGTGCAGAGCGCTGTGTACTGGATACTATTATATGTGGGGTAAAATGGAGGAGATAGATACACATACACACACACAAAAAAACTTTACACATTTCAATAGGCTTATATATGTTAATAGGCATACCTATTATGTATAGACTGGGGAAGGATAAAAGAAACTAAATACCTGTTGCTTTCAGAAAAGAAACTGGGACCTAAAAGACAAAGATTAGAAGAAGATATGCTTTTCACTGGCTACACATCCCTAATGTTTGAGTTTATATTTTTACCATATGCATGCACTACCATAGACACAGAGAGAAACAGAGACAGGGGTGGGTAGAGATAGATAAATACCCTCCCAGAGAACCCTTGCTCTTACCGTAGAAAAGAGAAGCGCTCTGTTTATACTCTCTCACTCTTCCCCTGGTCCTCCTCCATCTCTGCTCTACTGCTGGGGGCTCATGGCACACAATGGATGCTCAATAGATGTGTCTGTTAACTATCCCAAGGCAGCAGGTAGAACGAGACCAAGCTTAGGGGTCAGTTTGCCATGGAAGAGTAAAAATCTTGCACTTTGGCAACGGACCTGTTTTAGATATTTAAATCCCGTGTATCTGTTTCTCTGTTGTTCTTCGGAGCGGCTCAAAAAGGCTTTTAAAAGATAAAGCAGGTCTCAAATATGGCACATTGATGAGGGATGTTGAGAGTAGGGGAGTATATATGTGTGGGTGGGGAGGGCTATGTGGGAGCTCAGTATTTTCTGCTCAATTCTGCTGTAAACCTGAAACTGCTCTAAAAAAATAAAGTCTATTTAAAAAAAAAAAAAAAGATAAAGCAGGTCTCAGCCTTGCTAAGCAGAGCCAAGAGGGAACAGTCTGTTGCCCTCTTGGCTCGCGGGGAGCAAGCATCACAGCGCCCTCTGCCGGCCCTGCGGCGGCCGCGCGGCGGCCAGGGAAGAGGGTGGAGGCACTAGGAGAAATGCTGCCAGCCAGGATCAGAGTTTTATGAGACCAGCTCGTGAACAAATTGGCTCCATGACTCAGAGCATCACCTCAGGGCGGGATCAAGGCCTCCCGAAGTAGATGCTCCACCCTACTCCCACCCCACGCACTGCTCACCCTGCGAAGATTCCCCAGATGAAAGGGGGCCAAAGAAAAGCTGGAAAAAAAGGCAAATCTCAGCCTAGGATGTCGCAGGGACCCTGCCCTCATCTGGCAGGAAGGGCAATCACGCGTGGAGGAGACAGTGTGGCCCTTCTCCCGTTGTGCACGCACGTCTCCTCACCCATCTCTGTCACACGAGGTGCTCTGGGAGAGATGGTGCGCTGGGGTCAGTGAGGGTTGCAGATTTGGGGAAGAAGTCTAATGGGGGAGACCACCACAGAAGGTGGTCCAGTTAAGGTGCTGGGATTCCCAGACCGCCCACGGAGGACCTGGTGACCCGGGAACAGGAGTCCAGCCTTCCAGATGAAACTGCTGGTTCTGCACACAGGCCCCGCGGACGTGTCAGGACCAGATCCTGGACCTGTAAGCACAATCAGAGAGCCGTGACCCCAGAGAGACCACATACTTGGTGATCTTGAGTTTTCAGAGGCTGAGGTAAGAGTTGTCCATTTTGGCACCTTATAGGCATGGCTCTGTTTGTCATATATCCTTCGCGACCTCTGGTGAAGGAAGTTATTGATGGACTTGTAGACCCTGAAGACCTTGTCCCTGCACTGCATCATCACGTGATGGTACTGACTGGACCCACGCGGGATCCCGGTAGCTGGGGTAGTCATGACCGCGCTGTAGGAGGCCTGGGCCTGGGAGAAAACAGTCCGATCTAGCAGCAGATGCTGCAGGAGGGTCCACGTCTTAACCGTGTTTTCTGTGAAACACAAAGTGAGGCTCAGTCTCTTCCCCTGAGGCACGGTGTCTTCCCTCCTCCGAGTCAAGAAATGCAGTACTGCAAGTTCTCTCCGCTCTCCCTCGGACTTTTCCGACACTCCCTCTTCTGCACCAGCTCAGACACTCACTTGGCTGCCCCCTCTTCCACTTGCCCCATCTCTTTCCTTTTCTTCTCTAAGGCTTCCCCTATCTTTATTCCAGTCCCTCTGCCCTGGCCCAGCATGCTGCTAATTATAGTGCTTGTGCCTAGATTTGTTCAAGGAACTGAGCTGGAGGGGGCTGTCACACAAGAAAAGGGCACATCCCACCTCCTTCTAGACCTGGTGCATAGACCCCATCTTATCCCAAAAGATCTGTGATCTTCACCTAGGTGCTCCTCAGTAACTGCCATAACTTACAATTTGTGAAAGACTTTAGGGATCACAGAGTTTCTTCTTTTTTTTTTTAAAATCTGATTCGCATCACAATCTGATGACTTACAGCAAGCATTTTTACAATCCCATTTTAAAAAGAGATAACAGACTTGCACAAAGTTTCTATGGCCTGCCTAAAGTCAGACAGCTAATAAGTGAGAAGCAGCCTAGAATAATGGTGACCCCTTCAAATTCAATAAAAAAAAATAAGGAGGGAGGGTATAGTGCAGTGGTAGAGTGCATCCCTAGCATGCACAAGGTCCTGGGTTCAACTTCTAGCACCTCTGTTAGAAAATTAAAGTAAACCTAATTACCTCCCCCCTCCAAAAACACCCCTCAAGTTCAATAAAAATAAATTTCCCCACTATTAGAAACCTGCCTCCTGCTGCAAACTAAGAAAGCATCACCATCCTCCTCTTCCTTCTGCACTCAGTTCTCCTTATTCATAACCACCTCACTCAGCCCCTTACCCACCACTCTTCCCCTTAGGACCACAGAGGGTCACCACAGCTGACGCTGCCCTTCCAGTAAGAATCCTTACCTTCAAAGTCTTTATTTTTTATATTATTTTTCATCAAAGTGCAGTTGATTTACAATGTTAGTTTCAGGTGTACAGCAAAGTGATTGAGTTATACATATAATACATACATATATTTTTCAGATTCTTTTCCATTATAGTTTATAACAAGAAATTATATATAGCTCCCTGTGCTATATAGTAGGTCCCTGTTGTTTATCTATTTTATATATAGTAATGTGTAGCTGTTAATCCCAAACTCCTAACTTATCCCTCCCCTCCCCTTTCTCTTTTGGTAACTATAGTTTGTTTTCTATGCCTATGAGTCTATTTCTGGTTTGTAAATAAAATTTATAATTTTCTTAGAGTCCACATATAAGTGATATCACTTGACATTTATCTTTCTCTGACTTACTTTGCTTAATATGATAATCTCTAAGTCCATCCATGTTGCTGCAAATGGCAGCATTTCATTCTTTTTATGGCTGAGTAATATTCCATTATATATATTTATATATATGTATATCCATTCATCCGTCAATGGACATTTACGTTGTGACCTTCAGAGTCTTTACAGACTCCATTTCATCTGTGTGGCCGCCTTCACTAAGCTCTGGGCTGAGGATCTCATGGAGTTAGAGTTGAGAATTCTGTGGCTGCAGAAGTGTTGAGGGTCTCTCCTCTCATGGTATATTGTTATACTGCCCAGCTGGAGGGAGGGACTGGATGCCGTGGGGCAGAGTAATACCCAGTAAGTATGGGGTGCTGTCCTATTATCTTCCAGGGATGAAAGTTGAGACTCTCAGTCCTGACACTCAAATAGGACCTCAAGCAATATGTGGGGAGACTACACAGCAGGAGCCCAGTGGTCCTTGGGGAAATTAGACCCAGGCATGGCCTGAAGGTGAAAAGAAGCAAATGGAAGATAGCTCCAACTCCTGGGCTCCCTAAATAACTATCTCCACATTCTGAGCCTCTATTTTGCCCCAGATCATACAGAGAAGGAGTCTGACTGTTCCATTTTATCCAGAAGAGCAGTGGTGAGGAGGAAGAGTCTAACTAGAAAGCATAAAACGTTTGGTCAAATGCGATCCAATCTGAGCAACAAGCCAGCCTCCCCCCTGACTCTGCCCTTCCCAAGCCCTGCTCCCTTTAAGTAGCCCTGGGGCTCTCTAACTGGAAATTTTCCCAGGAAATCAAAGGGCCTGGGGAAAAGAATTTTCATAGATTCCCACTGAAGAAGGGGCCCTCAGAGTCAGCTGGAAGGAAGGGAAGAGGGCCTGAGGTACCCTTGCGAGGACGGACTGTAGGAAGAGAAGCAGCTGAGATCCGAGGAAAAGAACTGTTGCTGATTATGTGGGCAACCTCCACCCCCACCCCCGCTGCCAAGGTCCTCCCAGGTTCCATGAAGAATGAGAGCCAGAGCTTTGGTCCCAAGGCTTTTGTCACAGTCCATACTCTGACACAGTCCTGTAAATGCCACATCGACCATGTGCACTGCAGCCTGGGTCACCCTCTCGCAAAGGCAAGTCTCTGCTTTTCTCTCGGTTGGTTCTTTTAGCCTGAAGGTTTAGCCCTGATTGGTTCCCGTCCTCCTGGATTCAGGGCTTCCCCTGTGATGCAGACCCCATTCTGATTTGTCACGGGCACTTAGACAAGAATCCTTTTTCCTCACCTGGAAAATTAAAGTAAAAGACACGTATTCACTTACGATGCATGGTCCACAGCACATGCTAAGTAAATCTTCATCAAATGAAATGGAACCACCCTCTAGGTGAATGCAGAGTAGCTGAGTCCCTAACCAGGCATTCATCCATCTAGCCATTCACAACATGGCAGAGTGATGACAGGGCTTCTCCTATGCGTAGGGCTCTCCTGGGTCTCCCAGATCCCTGCACTAGGTCTACATGGTTCACTACTAGAGAGTGCTTTCTCACACGTCTGAATGTTTTGGGGATCAATGTACTGCAATTGTGACTCCATTCAGCTCATTCAGCTGGTTTTGGACAAGATGGAATATAAAAACAAACTATATGTTGACCCTTAATGTTGCAAAATTTTGCTTTCCCCAAAGTCTCTCTTTTAACTTTTCCTTTAGGTTATCATTTCCAAGCTCTCAGTCATGTCTGCTGACCTCTGGCTCTTCTAAAGGGCCTCCCACCTCACTCTCGGCAATGCTGCTGAGCAGGAGTAAGTCCATTCCTCTCTGGAGATGATTAGGATATGTTCCCATCACATCCTCCTGTACTGTGGCTTGACTCTCCCCTCTGCCAGGGCACCAGGGACCCCTTACATGGAAAAGGGAAAGGATTAGGTAGGTTCTGCCTGTCTGTGCCCTGTGGCTCCAGCTGCCAGTCTTTCCTACCCAAGAAGTGACCTCATTCGGGGCTCAGGGATCACTGACGTCCTGCATTGTGCTAAAGGGACCCAGGAGTGTAGCTCATGCTTGCCAGTTGCTACTACAGGGGAGTTTGTGGCCAAGATGGCATGATCTGTCTACGCCTATCCCAAGGAAGTGAAGGGAGGAGTATGTACCTCTAGGCAGAAAAACAAAACCAAAAACAAACAAAAACAGAGTCAAGGGGAAAAAACTAAATATGTCAGAACTTTTTCTAATGTCAGCATTGAGAATGGGGTTGAGTAACTTCCTGAAATCCCCTCTAGGCCCATCCTCTAGCCATGCTGAACCATGAAGAGCCACCTCCAGGTCTTATTCTGACTCTGCCTGCAACATCCTTCCCCATTTGGTTTTCAAGGGTAATTATTTATCCTCCCAAATTCAGTGTGGTGTCATCTCCTGCAGGAAATCTTCCCTGTCCTTTGCTCCACACTCCCCAGACCTGCTGCTGGGCCCCCATCTTTCCCATTCATTTTTCTGTATTATCTGATTATAGGTATGTCTTCCCCCAGCAGACTGTCCATTCCTGAAAGGCACGATATACAACATCAATCTCTGATGTCTCTGCCAAGAATGTTACCTGTCATATAGAAACAACCCTATCAATGTCTACAGAGAAACAAAATTAGGATCAATGGTTCAAAGGACACAAACATCCTTTTGGCTCTTGATATATTGCAGACTGCCCTCCAAAAAGTTGGCACTTATTTACAATGCCATCTGCAACAGAATAGAAGTTTCACCACAACCCTGCTATTTTATTTGTGTCCTAATGTTTTAACATGTATTTCATTACTAGTGAGATTATGTTTATTTCACTAATCATAATCCTCTACTGTGAATTGTCTCTTTATATCTTAGTAATCATTTTCTGACAGCTTGCCATGGCTACAGCCAAATTTCCTTCTCCCCCTAAGCAAGGAGCCACAGGCCCAACCTTGCAGTGGAATGAAGGACTTGTTTCCTAAGCTACGTAGATCCGTATCGATGCCCCAGGAGGTCAGCTTACAACCTAAGTTTGCTACAAGGTCCAAGACAGTTAAGATTCTCCACATTAGACTTTATTTTCTTAGTAGGAGCTACAGATAAGAAATATAGTCTGACAGTTTTCAGCAGATACCTAAGATTTCTGAAAAAGTACAAGTCTATAAAAATGATCCACCCCTTCTATCCCTTGAAATTTGCCAAGTCTGGTCTCTAGAACTTCTCCCCTTAAACCTCTAGATGGAAAGGGAAAGCGGGGTAGGAGGCAAGTGGTATTGACAGAGCACAGCTCAAGAACATGCCCACACTGAAAATTTCTTAGCCTGCTTTGCAGTCAGTTGGTTAAGCTGTGATACACATTTGAAGGGCAAAGTCTTTTTCTCCAAAAAGTGTGGACTGAGATCCTATTCTATCCCTGTATCTCTCCGGTATGGGCCTTCCCAGTTTCCTCTGATAGACAATTATGTAAAGAAGTTTTTACCACGGTGACCATGACTTTTCACAGTGCCTGTGAGACAGCATGAGGCAACATTTATAGATACTATCTCAAGCTGCACAGTTTGGCTTGGCACCACTCAGGCTTTGAAGCCTGCTCCAGTTCATTTCCAAATTTGCATGTACTGCCAGTGCCCCATTTTAGGCCAGAGCTATTCATCGCTTGATCTCTGAGGAAGCAGGGTTCTTTCAATCTGAACTCTGGCTCAAGTACAAACTACCCTCCTTACGTCCATACAAAGCCAACTTGAGTGTTCATCTGTATTTTGTTTGGAGAACATTTCTAAACTAGTCTTTTCTTGGCTAACAATTCTAAACTTTTCCTGCCCTGAAAACTGCCCCCCACCTTATCTGTTCTCTAAAGAAACACTTCTTTGTTTAAAATTCACCAGCTCTAGGGCATCCAGAGAGCCAGCAATACATCTTTCAGGGACTCATCTGATTTCACTCAAAGAAATTGATCAGGTATTTACCAGGAATTTACTATGACTACATACCTGACTTTGCCTAAGTGCTGAAGATACATCCAGAACCACCCTTAGACCCAGGAAAGAGGCCCCTTTCCTGGGCCTCACATTTAAGAAAGCCCCACATGTAACTAATGTAAACATATAAATAAATTTATTAAAGAATACAGAGGTGCCTCTGCCACTTGGGATCCAGTGCAACCCATAATCTGACATAAAACTTCTGCTTTAGGTACTGACATGGCTTTAATTCAAGGGAAACACCTTTCCACATCTTTTGCCCAAATCCTGAAAGGTGACTGTGTCTGAGTGACAAGACTGTTTATAGTTTGTGCCTCTGCCAGGAAAGGAGACAGACATTGTTTCCTAGTATGGTAAGGACTAGGTGGCAGAAGCATACAGGTTTAAAAAAAAAAAAAAGATGAACTTGTTAAATTCTTCCTCTCAGATAGCATGACTGCAATGCATTTTTATATTATGATGTATCACAGTGCCAAGTACCTATTCTCTTTTTTCCCTTCATGTTCCAATGCATAGTTCTGAAGGTACTCAAAAATTGGCACAATGTTCCCGATAGTTGTACATGACAGCTGAGGCAAATTTTGCAATATTCAACAATGTTTTTAATCTTAAATTTGTATGTACATAGCTTTGGACAATGTGTGAACTTGATAGCAGTTCTTTATAATTCTCTATGTATCTAGATACTGCTTTAAGAAGTGGTAAAAATCACAATATAAATTAGAGCACTTTATATAACAAAATAATCCTTAATAGTTAATGTGATAATGTTAATTTAACATATGCAACCCCATTACAGTGTCAGAATGTGATACGTAAAACCAAAAATTCATTTCCAAATCTAAGTATTGCTTTAAGAACTGTTTTGACAATACCAGTTGCTATGGACATAAGAGAGGAAAATATTTTCAAATTAAATTAATTTAAAAAAATGAATTTTTTCCCCCAGGATTTGACAAGAACTGTTTTAAGGCACCGTAACACGGAGAGGGCCACCAGGGATGTGTTCCTCCCCGCACTTCATGGCCAGAACGTAATCCCTCTTCTCCTTGATAACACATGTGACATTGTACTGTTGGCTGCCCACATGCTTCATGAAGACCTCCTCGCAGGGGGTGGTGGGCCCTTGGACCCCAATCAGCAGCATGTTGGAACTGGCTTTGCTGCAGTCTTCCAGAAAGGAGCTCTTCTGGCTTATGAAGGCCTTTGAGAGCCCCACCCCCTTGGAGGTTAATGATTCAAGAAAGATGGGCTAATTTGACATCCATTACTGTCCAAAGAACATAAATTATGTAAAAATCAAGACCATAACAACACAGTAATTATACTGAAATAAGGGCAAAGAAAAACTTTTTTCAGCTGTGCCTTTAGAAAGTCGATCTGTCTGCCTTCCTTCCTTTAAGCAGAAAACGTTTTACACACCATCAATCCTCTGCTGCTTTCAACTCAACAATCTTCCCAGGACTCTGAAAGAGGGAATTGGAAGCAACACCATTATGTGGGAAATTGGAGGGCTATTTCTGGTACAGGGGATTTGTCTGACTCTAGAAAGCAGACTTGAGGAGAAGCACATTAGACTCCAGGACTCTTCATATGTTTCTGGGTCACTGATGCTATCAGCATTTGAGGTCAATGAGCAGAGGCTGGGAGGTTTCAAGCCTGGGTGGGTCATCACTTTTTGCCTCCTCCCATTCCAGGAGCCTTTAGATTCCCCTTTAGCCTCCTCTGCTTTCAGTCATCCTTCCCTCGACCATTTCCTTTTCCTTTCCCAAGATCCTTACCAACCAGGACCGGAACCACTTTTACTTTGAACCATATTGTATCAAGAGCTGGAAGAAAGCTAGAGAATGCTGCGTAGAGAGGGCATCAGGGTCCAGAAAAGGAACAATCTCAATCACTTTCCAAAGCAAAGAATCCCCAGCAGGGAGCCAGAGAGGGCTATAGGGAAACAGAAGATGAATGTGATTTCTGAATGAGCTTGAAGTGAGGAAGAATGGAATAAGAACAGGCAAGGAAGAGAAACACGGGACAAGGAAGGGCTGAGTTAGCTGGGCCGTGGTGACTAGAAGCTAGGATCCAGATTGACTTAGGAAGGGACCAGGGAGCTGGGGAAAGTTAGGAAGAACCATGCCATCCACAGGGGGCACTGCATCCCCACGGCTGGCCTGGACTGTTCAGGACCAACAAAGTAGAGGGGGTCAGTCAAAGACAGCAAAGCCCCTCTTCCTTGCTCCCGGCAGACAGCACCTCCCCCTCTGCCTAACTCCTGGGTTTTTTATTAATGCAGAGACATCCATAGGAGAGAGACACACACAGTCACCACCTATTTCACATACATACACATGCTCTTGAGACAGGAAGAAAAGAGTACAGCCAGTTTGGAAAAGGACCAGGGAACAGCTAGGGGCAAAACAGGCCTTGGAAGCTAACGAACGAAGGCCCTGCGGGCCTGAGTCCCAGAGGCAAAAACCAGGCTCCCAGGAATAAAAGATTACCTTTATCTCTGTTACACTAACAAGTAGACCTCATCACCACAAGACAAGAAGCTGAAATACAAATTTTAACCTATCTGTTCTGGTGCTTTCTTGCAGAAAATTCTCACAGGCTCCCTTAAGCCCCTCACAGAAGCACTCCTTATTCCTAATAGCCACCATGGAGCCACCTGCTACAGATCAAAGATTCTGGAAATTATCAGTGATCACAAGACAAACCCTCCCTTTTGTTATAAAAGCAACTTGTTACCAAGTCCAAACTCGTTCTGCTCACCCCACAACAGGCCAATAAATTGGGAGATGAGGTGTTGGGGCAAGGAATAATGACTTTATTCGGAAAGCCGGCAGACCGAGAAGACGGCAGACCAATGTCCTGGAGAACCATCCTCCCCAAGTCAGAATTCAGGCTCCTTTTAAACTAAAAAGGGGAGGGGTTATGCTTGGTTGTTACAAACTTCTTGGTATTGGAATTCTTTGTTCTTGCAGCCCTCCCCGTGGGTCAGGTCATGGTGTCCCCATAAACCCCCAATAAAACAAATGTTATTTTCTGTTCTGCAACTTTTTATCTTGATGTGAATGCAAAAGTATTAATACCCTTAAAGGTCAGAACCAGCAAGCCTAAGCCTGGGAAACAAAACACAGGGTTAAAGGCAAAAGAACAGATCTAATATGATAGAGTCAGCTTTGTTCTTTTCTATTACAATAACTGTTTGAAATTTTGCTGTCAGTGGTGGTGGCCTTTCCTGATGAGCTCTTTCAAGTACGCATGATTACCAGGGTGGGGACATGTTCTCCTTAAAGTTCTTGTTCTCTGATTCAGTTTAGAGGGTTAAAAACATACCTCACTGCTGGTGAAATAAAAACGCATGCTCTTCTAACCGAAAAACACTTACTTATCAACCCACACAAGGATATCTGAGCCAGCCTCCATGGTGCTGGTATTTTATAGACGAAACACTGAAAGTACAAGATGGAGCAAAAACAACCCCAGATTCACCATGTGCTTGCTTGACTTCACCTACTCACAAGTTCATTCTTCTGAAAGCTTTCTCAGTGTGAGCATAAAACAAAATGATGACTGTCTCAGAAATTTCCTTTACCTTTTTTATAAAAACGTTCATTACTTTTATTTCTGCCAGATTTCAGAGATAACAGCACAGCTTGACTAAGTGAGTGGTGTCCCCATTATTTCTCTCCTATTGGTGAGGCTCTACTCTAAGCCACTTACATTCCATCACCCAGGTTTCCTTTAAGTTGATGACAGGGAGCAGGGGATGGAAACTCAGTTCCCTGGAAGGAATCTGGCCAGCCCACGTTGTGGTCCTCAGTTGGTAGAAAGACTGAGTAATGAGAGGAGCCTGCTTCTAACTCTAAAGCACATGGGACAAATCAGAGGGATGCCAGCCGACTAATATTGGATACATATTGTGATTTGTGTGATTTGTTTAGGTATTTTTTTTAAGGATGCCTCATCCCTCACTGAAATGAATTATTCTGACAAAGGGTTTTCACCTCACCTTGTCAAATTATAAACATACTGTTATTTTTAAATCTCATAAACATGTTTATGTAAATCTTACTTTTAAACCTGTTTTGGGGAGGAATTTTTTCAAGTAGGAATTGTGTTTACATCTGAAATAAGCAGTATAAACATGTTGTTTTTGTGGAAGAATGATGAGAATCCAGGGCCAGGCTCCTGGCTGCCTGCAGTAACCCTCAATCCCTGGTACGAGTTTTAGCATCAAAAGCCTGGACAGCCACACCAAGCTTCCAGCACCAATCTCCCTGCAGGTCTAATGGAAAGAGTTGAGTCGGGTTTTCTGCAGACCATGATCGCCAGTCTTTGAGGAAACTCCAGCCTTCTTGTGCAAAAATGAGGAAGAAAATCTCACAGGTGGGGATCACTGAGGGACTTCGGTCACTAGGCATCGGCAGCAACCTGGCAGAGACACTGTTTGTTTCTAAGTTGGTGTGTGTCTGCTCCTATTGTCCTACCCTATACATTTGCTTGCTCCCTGCTTAGCTGAGAGACATAAATGTAAATGTCCCATTAATCAAGTGTGTGTGTATGTGTCATACGTACTTGCCCTCGGGACTGCCTACACTTTGAAATCCTGAACCGGGCTTCACATTTAATCTTGAGTTTTCACTCAAAATAAGACACATATCCTTTCTTCTTGTACTTCCCAGCCTGCTGAATCCTTGAAAGCCATCAGAGAGATGTACAGCAACCTATTCTTACTCAGCTTGGTCAATCTAGTGAGTCTTTATCACTGCAAGAGAATTTTCCTGGCCTCAGCCTCCCTCTCTGGGACAACTGCCACTCTAAGCCCAGGGTCATGTTTAAATTGCATTCCAGCAACACAGCAGCTGAACCAGAAGAAACAGTACCATGCCTACTTGCTGACATGGTGAATCTCTAACTTGGTCCCCAAGTCTATTAACAGGACCTCCGTTAACCTGAAAGGGTCCAAAATCTCTACTTCAGAACATACATTTAAATTTTTTTTATAACTCCCCCTTTCCACACTGTAGAAAGTACAGCTTACAAAGCTCAGTCAAATGCCAGAAGCTTAAACATCTGAACTTTAGAATGAGACGCTAATTCAGTTCATATCACTGAATTACAGGGAGGAAAATCAATCACAGGAAGAAAGAAAAGGAGAATGCATCTCACTTGATTCCCAGGGAATTAACCTAAAATATACTGAGATTCCAAAAATGAACATAAAACATAAGACACAGAATCAATAATCAAAGATAGAAGAAATATTCTTTGGCAGGAGGTAGAGAGCTGGTTTTAGAAACAGGTAGAGCTCATGGAGTTCCAATATGAGCAGAAGCAACACAATACCACTGCTTTTAAATAAAAAATATGTCTAAAACATAGTGAAAGAAAGGCATTCTGAAAGTTCCTAAGTAGGAAAGGCAGACCACTAATAGAGGAATGGAGACAATAATAATCCATGGCATTCCCCTGAAAAAATAAAAACTACCATGTGGACACCAAAACACAAAGGATGCCTTATCAAGTTAACTTTTTATTCTTATTTGAAGACAATAGAGAGTCCTTCTTGGATTACTAACATTTATTTAACTGACATGTCTGAGTGCCTTTGATGTGACAGGCACTATTCTAAGTGCGGTGTGTATAGTGGTGAACAAAGCAGACAGTTGCCTGCATTTTAGAAATTTTGTCCCCACATACCTTGGAAACTTCTCAAACTAGCTCAGAAGGGTATATTTTAACTAAGAAGAAAAAAACCTTTCTTTTGCAGTAGTTAAATACCCTCAGGGAGAGTCCATTTTGATCACCATTATAATCAAGGACAGTGCAAGAGAAAGAATGACCTTGCCCTTGGCGACAAGGCTATGGCTTGAGGCCTCCCGTGTGGCCTGCATCAGGGAATTAGATGAGACAAATCATTTATCAAATCTGGAAAAGACAGATGTCAAATATCGTAAGATGAAAAGGTAGTGCTGTCATCACCAGGTGGCTCTGCTGGCTTGATAAGTAAAATCAAAGTCACAGAGGGCTATAACCACGGAGAATTAGCTAAACCCCCACAATCTATTTAATCACAGTTCAGAAGAGCTCCCCTAATTTCTGTTGTAGGTGCCCAACAATATCACTTACCTCTGGAGGAAAGTAGGGGACTAACGGGAAGAGTCGATTGGTTTTACTTCAGAACAAAAGAGAAGGTAAAGGTCACTCCGGGTCCAAAAAGGTAGATAGGTAGATAGATAGATAGACAGACAGACAGACAGACAGACAAGAAATGGGGGAGGGAGGAAAGAAAGAGAAAGGAGACCAACTGGCTTTTTAAAGGCACAGCTGAAGAAACAGCTTGGAGGCAACATTCTGAAAGGATTAGGCACCATCCTTCAGGATGCAGTGTATTTATTGAATCAGAAGCTTCTAAATAATACTGTGTCCCCAATAGGAAGAATACACAGGTCTGGTAACCAACAAGTAGAAGCAAGAATGGCTTCACTTACCATCACTCCCACTGACCCATGGAAATTTCATGCTTTCATCTCTGTAAGTCTAGGCTCTACAGGGTCAAAGGTCCAGATCTCCAAAGAGGATGCACTCTTGCCAGGAGACATATCGAGGGTCCTGCTGAACCACAAGCTATAGCTGCTACCAAGACACTTTGGAGTTCCTGAGTCTAGGGACCAGCAGATGAGAAGAGAAGTTACCATACTGTCAGGGCTAAGTGACCCTAATTAGCAGGAAGATGTGGGGCTGATTTGACACAATGGGAACAGGGAGCAATTCACGTGGAACCCAAGTGATCTACTTGGATGCTCCCTGGCATTCCCATGCTCCACTGTAACTGTGATTGTACATGTGCAGTGACATCAGCTGGAGAAAGATATGACTATCAAGGATTTGGACCACTCAGGAATGAAGGTTTGGGTCATAACACCAGATAAGCCACTAAGACATGATATAGCTGAGGGTAAGGGAAAATCAGAATGGATAGTAAAGGAGGGAAAGGATAGGTGCCAGCTCAACTGCAATGACAGTGACTATAACTTTCCCCACTACCTCCTTCTTCTAAGTTTCTCTTCAGGAACAGAGTCCCATGCAAAGCTTGAAAGAATTGTCCCTTGAACCTATCTGGAGAAGTAGGTTTGTGTGGCTCTAGGACAGCTATGAAAATGCAATACTCAGATCTCCCACTGTGGGGATCACAAGTAACTTCCACACTCTGAATCTGCTACACTTCCCATGGGCTGCTCTCAGACAATGACAGAGTGCAGCAGTGATGCTAAGTCACGCCCATCTTTGCAGGATGCAAGGCTCCTCTGATGACCACCTTGAGCTCAAAGACTATCCATTAGCCTGGCTGAAACATTTTTAGAACTGTGTCCATCCAATCTGTTTTCCTTTCCTCCCTCTTTCACAGAGGTCAAACCTGCATCATAATCTGGCAGCTCTTTTGGCCTCTTCTGACTTTCTCTCCCTTTCCCCCTCAGAGGCATTCTCCCAATAAATCTATAAATCCAATTCCACCTAATGTCTGCTTCTCTAAGAACCTAACAGAAGTGTCTATGAAACAGCTTTAAACTATAATCCATGATTTCAAAACAAACTAAGAAAATAATTCAAGACATGAAAGAACAACATATATCAACATTAGAAAAAAATTCATTAAAAAAGATGACATATTCAGGAAAGTTACAAATAAAAGTAAAAGTTGTTTAAAAGATAAAGACTAATCTGCAAGACACACAAACCCAAATAAACACAGTAAGTAATGTCTTAAGAGATCAGAAGATTTAAAAAGAGACAACTTAACAAAAAGAAACAGAGTTTTTTTTTAAAAAAGGTACTATTTGGGATCTTTGATCGAAGAATTTCTTTAATTTCCCAAAGTATTATTCCAGTTGCTTCACACCTTCATTATTGAGATTGTCTCTAGATCTAATAACTAGCTATTTCCCTTTTTTCACAAACTCAGTGAAGATCAGTTAGTCATTATCCACCTCCAAATTATCCAAAACTTCCTCAAAGAATCTTTAATTTTCCTTGACTTAATTGGGGCTGGGGTCGGGGGTGTAATATTTAACCACCTTAAGGCTCACTTTCCTCAGGTGCAAATGGGGTTAAAATAATCTACACCATAGAATAGTGGGAACTAAATGAGATAGTATTATGTAAAAGTGTTTGTCACACTGGCACATAATGTTCTAATGTTGGCTATTTATCTAAGAGTATCAGTTTAATATGAAGAAACTAGGATGTAAAAAAAATTAACTCTATTATTTTCTATTACCTATTATTCTGTTATCTCCGGTCACCTAAATCTGGTTTTTCTTATTTCATCTTTCCATTATTGACTTCTCTCCTCTTCACATCGAAGGTAAAAACCTCAAGACTTCACAGAGTTCTCCACAAAGAAAAACAAAGAACACAGGTACTTAACCCACACAAAAACTCCTTGCCTCCCTATGACGCGTTTTTGGAGGCTCCAGGAAAGGGCCCGCCCCCACCTCGTCCCGCCCTCGCGATTTCTGGACGCGCAGACAAACCCTAACGCATCGTTGAGACCACCTCGCTTCCGGCTGGTTACGGCGGAACTGAGGTGCAGGAATGCTCTCCAAGGCGATTTACATATCGATCGTTTATTGGCTACTAGCAAGCACTCGCTCTCCTCATTGGCTGATTCTGCTCCGCGCCGACGTTCCGGGAAGGATGTTCGCCGCGGCGATTGAGACTGAGGGTCACCGGTGCCTGCATTTCCGTTTCCGGCTCACCTCTGGCGCCATGGCGACGGCGAGAGGACTGGGATGTCTGCTGACATTAGGCAGATGGCGCCGCGGCCTTGGAGTAGCTCCCCAGTCCCGAGTGAGTGCTTACTTTCCCTACTTTCATAGAAGTTGTGGATCTTGACAACAGCTCCGCTCCGAAGAGGAGCGCTCTCGGCAGCTCCTCCCTTAGCCAGCGCCCGCAACCATCTTTTCTGCCCGTTAATCAGCTTTTCTTTCCCGGCCTGCAGGCGTTTGTTGCTGTCGTGCCCGGCGTATCCCAGGTGGACAACAAATCCGATTTCCTGAAGAAAAGGTGCCATCGCCGACACCCCGGCATCCTGCAGCTGTCATGCGTGCGGCTGCCGCAAGCATTGGCTGACGCCGCAAAGTTACTGTTGCTGGGTGAGTAACGGTGGGAAATGGAAGCTCGAGAGGAAGCGGAGACGAGGCCTGCGTACAAGTGATCCTGCCTTTCATCTTTGGTCCATAGAGAGCTCGATGCCCATTACGGAGAAGCAGGTGCAAGCACTGACCAATTATCTCTGGAGCCGGCATTTACCTGTAGAGCCAGAGGAGTTGCAAAGACGGGCTGTATATCTTGAGAAAAAATACCTGGAAAACGCAGGTAGAACTTAATAATTAGAGACTAGGCCCCATTGAAAAAGCAGTGGGAAATGAAGAGCAGGAAGTAATTTCACAGTCTGTTAAGTAGGTACTGCAGTTTCCTGTTTGCCTTTCTGGCCAGAGCAGTTATTACAATGATGCCTTCTAAGAGAAGATAGATTATTTCAGAGATTGCCCTTAGGGTTTGAGTAAAGGTCGGTGAGTGCTTCATTACCCTGTGAAAATTTAAATCTTTGGGTTTTTTCCTCCAAGTCCACTGGATTAAGACCGTTTAAAGTTTTTGTTCAAGTGAAATAGAGTCCTTGTCCAGTACTAAAACCCTCTACAGGGAGAGGACAATAAGTATAATTTGTCAAGTTACTTTCATGGTTATGAGTTTCTTCATATTAAAGATCTGCCTTTATTCATCTTCCCTGCATTTCCTATGGTACCTGGTTCATAAGAGGTGCTCGGTAGATGAAATAGTACTGAGTTGAACGCAATCATGAGACTTGAGTTTTTTCAGCCCCTTTTTCTCTCTATAGGAACATGGGATACGACACATTGTTAAGTTTTGGGGAAGTGAAGAAATCTGCAAAATACTGTTTTTATCCTATCATATAAATCTTTTTTATACTTCCCTTTGATATAGAACAAAACCTGTGGGATAGGGTTGGTTGAGTTGAATAAACTGCTGTTGGAGGCAAAATACTGATACACTTTGGTGGTGGTGGTAGTCATTATTCTTGCCTAAAAATTTTCTCTAGGTTTTGCTTCTCTCTTAAGCTTTGAGGCTTTTCCCAGGTGGGAGTTGGGGAGGAATGGGCGGGCAGTATATTCAGATACTGGATCTAAGCCCTGTTCTTCCTAGGTCCTTACTTCCAGTCCTTGTTCTCGCCCCAGACTCATCTAAAATGGAGGAGAAACTTCGCGAAGCAGTACTGCGTGCTTTGCGCAAAACCACCTATCATTGGCAAGAACTGAGGTAAGGGGGACTGGAATGGCTGCCACAGAAAGAAGAGTTTGACTTTAGAAGGGGAGTTGGGGAAGTGCAATTACACGACTTAGTGTTTGAGAAAGCGACCTGATTTGTAAGGCTTCCTAGGACTCTTCTGTGTTGAGGAGTGAGAGTGTTGAAGAGATCTTTCCAAAGATTTCATTTCCTAAAACTCTAGAGGGTAGCTATGGGGTAGAGGTTGTTTCCCAGTGACATGACTCTGATTTTTCTGGCAGCTACAATGAGGGACTGAGCCTGCTGTATATGGCAGCAAGACTGGATGGTGGCTTTGCAGCAGTCTCCAGAGCATTCCATGAGGTGAAATCCCTCAGCTTCCAGCCTGAACCCTTTTACCATCAGTTCTCTTTTTCATAAAGTAATCTTCTGGGGTAGGGTTCTTGGGATGTTGCGTGTGTGTGTGTGTGTGTGTGTGTGTGTGTGTGTTTTAAAGAGGCCCTATTTATCCTCTGAAAGGATTTTGTGACCCAGGAAAGGTTTAGAATAGCTATTTTAAGAGCTTCCTATTCTATAAAGCATTTACATTGAATCTTAAAAAGATGTCTATATCTCATCTGCTTTGTCGTGGTCCCCTAAGTCATATTTACCAAGACCCTAAATAAGTGTCTACTTACCCCACTGTGTGGTGTTGTCTATTTCTTCAGATCCAAGCTCGACTTCCAGAGTTCCAGCCAAAAACCTTGATGGACTTTGGCTCAGGTACTGGTTCTGTCACTTGGTGAGTATCTTTCTCCATCTCTGTCACCTAGCTCTAGAAAGCCATGTTACACCACCCCAATATCAAGAGACTGGAGAACCAGAGGGAGAATGGGAAAGTTAGGAACTGGAATAGTTCTTCCCTCAGATTAGACAAGGTGCTAGAAGGTATATGGATTAGGACGAGAGCTTAAAGAAGTGTCAAGTGAAAAAAAGACTCATGTTTAAAAGGATAAAAAAGGAAAGGCATTTGGTCTAGGGCATGTGTTTTACATATCATCAAAAAGTTTTTTGTGTACAAATAGTTTTTTGAGTCCCTTTTTTTTAAGGAGTTGTAAATGAAATAAGAAAATAACATGGTTAATTTTTCCAGCTATCTTAACAGCATTCTTTCTCCAAGGGTTGGTTGGGGACGGAGGGGATCTCTTGTAGGAATGACTATCATGAAAACTGGTATGTTTTGTTTTTTGCCATCTTAGGGCTGCTCACAGTACTTGGGGCCAGAGCCTACGTGAATATATGTGCGTGGACAGCTCAGCTGCCATGTTGGAATTGGCAGAAAAGCTACTGAAAGGTGAGGACAAAGTATGAGGAAGGGCTTTTCCAAAGTTGAAGGAGTTAAAAAAGCAAAGGAGTACTAGAAAAGGTCTTGTATCAGGGAGTAGAGGAGAGGGCTGCAAGTGAAAGGTGAGTCTGACCTTTCAGTGCTGTGGTCAGGCAGCAGGTGCTGACAGCCTTCGTTGGACTGTGAATTGGCTGGGTAGAGATTAACAGGACAGATGACCCGGTATTCTCCCTGCCCTTTTCAATAGTTGCCTACCCTATTGCATCTCACCCTCAGCTGGTGTTTCTCTTTATTCTCAGGGCCATGTTTCTTATTGGGATGTCACTTGAGTTTATACCTATACACTCTCAAAGTTGCCACATCTCTGCTTTCCTCCACAGGTGGTTCAGAATCTGGGGTGCCTTCTGTTCCAGGTGTCTTCTTCAGACAGTTTCTACCTGTATCACCAAAGGCAAGTGGCAGTGTTTAAAGTATGGTTAGCTGTGGAGTATGCAGATGGAGAACTGTAGTCTCAGCTTTGCAACCTAGTGTTGAGTTTATAACCTAGTGTTGAGTGTTAGAAAGTTTTAAAAAGCAGAAGAGATTTAGTGGATAGACCTTTGTTGTACTCTTAGAAGAGGGCGATAATCAGGTCTGTTGTGTTCCTTGTCTTGTACACCAGGTGCAATTTGATGTGGTGGTGTCAGCCTTTTCTCTAAGTGAACTGCCCAGCAAGGCCGACCGCGCTGATGTAGTCCAAACCTTGTGGCGCAAGACAAGTCATTTCCTGGTGGGCAGAAACTTTTTTTCCTTTTTTTCCTTTTAAGATTTAAAGCAGCTTCACGGATTTTATGCCTTTCCTTCTCCCCGTGGGAGCTTGTCTTCATTCTTGACCATTCTTCTCCTTTGTCCCTCTTTTAGGGTCTCTGTCCCCATTTTATATATAATGCCCATTTCTCTTAGGACCCCTACTCCATCTGGGAATGCTCTTACAGAGCTACTGACATTTACGTTTTCATGTAATTCAGGACTTCCTCTTATTTTTCCCTTTTGTAATCAGATATTGGTGGAGAATGGAACGAAAGCTGGGCACTCCCTTCTCATGGACGCCAGGGACCTGGTCCTTAATGTAAGGTTCTTTCTCCTCCTTTCTCCCTACTCCTCACCCCCCACCTATTCTCACCAGTTGTTGGTACTCCCTTGAAAATTGAATAGACTCTGTCATACAATGGTAAGGGTGACTGTCAAGATGTTAGGCATATAAAGTCGTCATGATACAGAGTAGTGGTTGGCAAAGTTGGGCCCGTGGATCAAATCCAGGCTGCCACTTGTTTTTGTACAAGCCATGCTTATTTGTGTGTCTGTGGCTGTTTTCACACTACAAACAGCAGATGAATAGTTGGGGTAAAAACAGATTTTGCCTACTCTGTGGGCCTTTAAATTTTTTTTGCCGACCCCTGATTGCTGAGCCAAGAACCTTATCTCTTTGGGACAGTATGAGCCAGTGTATAATCATACATTGAATTGTCCTAGAGTAGGATTTTTTTGAGAGTGGAGGTTGCTGACAGGGGAGAGCACCATACTGTGTGCCAAGTTTCTGCTTTTCTCTTGCTGCAAAGAGAAAGTTCTTTGTTTGGAGTATTAGAGAAGTAGCCAGCTTAACTCAAAGAATATGGTTAATAATTATGAGAACTGAATGTTAAAGAAGTCCTCGATTTACTGAGTGCAGAGATTGAGTTATGAGAATAAATCCCCTTTTTTTTTTTTTTCTTTGATTTCAGGGAAAAGAGAAGTCACCTTTGGACCCTCGACCTGGTTTTGTCTTTGCCCCGGTGAGTATTACTTCTTCCTTTCCCAGCATGCAAAGATCTGAACTCAGCTGTAGCCAGGAAAAGTAAGAGGGTAAAGCTGAGCCACCCTCCACTACTTGGTATCCCTATCCTGTTTCTTTCTTAGTGAGTCCCTGGCTTTCCCTACCACCTGTTCCGGTGCTCCCTTATCCCTAGCCCTTCTTGACTCCATCACTCTTTGCTTTTGGTTTTATGATCTGTGGTTCTTTTGTTTCACCTCTTGTCTTTTATTTGTGTTCACAGTGTCCCCATGAACTTCCCTGTCCCCAGTTGACAGCCTCTAAGCCTCTGGCCTGTAGCTTTTCCCAGGCTTACCATCCCATCCCCTTCAGCTGGGTATGTACCCTGGGAGTACTGTGGCAGGGAGAAGATAGCCTGGGAGAGCGCAGTGAAAAAGAATCAAAAGTGGGAGGAGTTGGGAGATTCAGAGAATTGCTTGGAGATTTTAGGGCCTGAATATGCCTGACTTACAGACTATGAAAAGGGCTTCAGGAATGAGGTTCACAAATTTTTTTCCCTCCAAACATATCTTTTCCCTCCAAACTGACTCTATATCCTTATCTTAGAACAAGAAGCCAAGGGAGGAGAAGTTCTCGATGGTGATCCTTGCCCGAGGGTCTCCGGAGGAGGCTACCCGCTGGCCCCGTATCACCCAGCCTGTCCTTAAGCGGCCACGCCACGTGCATTGTCACCTGTGCTGCCCAGATGGACAGAGGCAGCATGCTGTGATCACGGCCCGCCGGCATGGCAGGTGAAGAGCGTGTGACCCAAGTTAGTGGGAGGTGGCAAGGACCTGCAGTCCACACTGACCCTTTCTTTTATGCAGGGATTTGTATCGCTGTGCCCGTGTCAGCTCCTGGGGAGATCTTTTACCTGTGATCACACCGTCTGAGCCTCCTCCATCCCCTGCTCAGGATCCCCCTGAGAGTTGACAAGGAAGCATAACAAGTGTTTCCTTCTGTCGTGCCTGCCAAGGCTGAAGCTACCTGGTATCCAGGGCGGGAGTACTGGTACCCCCATATATCTGTGTTTGCTTGAGGTTTTAATGATAATAAAAAGTTTTCCGAGAATAGAAATGGATCTTGTGATTCTTAAAAGGTCTAGAGGTCCGTTGTCATGGCCTATCCTATAATATAATGAAGAGAATCCTCAGCTTTTCAGTGGTTATCTTCCCACACAAATCTCTAGCTCACCCTCTCCCTTGAGGAAACTGCTGCTTCCACCAGATTCCAGGACTTCACAGGGAGTCCTGGAGGTGAGGTGGGGTAGTGGGAAAACTGCCCCCAGCTCCTTGAGAACTGGCTCAACAGGTCTCAGGGTTGTTTTGCAGGCCACCTGAATAGGGAATCAGCAGCCACCTGGCCTCTGGTTTTCTCTCCCTCCTGCGCTTCCAACTTTGTCAGCTCCCTCATAGTTCACCTCATACGCTTCCCTCAAGAGTGGGTTCTGCTCGGGCCTGAGTCGTCCATCGCCACCCCTGAATATCCAGGCAGGAGCCTTCAGTCTACTTGGTTCATTTCTCAGTTCTCCCCTAGTACTGTTTCAGAGCTAGAGCAACTTTCTTTGCCTTAAAACTCTCGGTCCCTCTCCTGCAATATATATCAGTGAGCAGGCTTAGTCAGAAGTTGTAAGAGTATTGATGTAACACTAGAAATCTCAACTCCCTGTTAGACATTTCCACGCCTGGAGCTATTTTTCTGGGGTTACAGGAAAGGGGAGTCCACTCACCTACTAGTTCCCACGGAGTGGTGGCGGCTCCACCTGGCAGCCCCACCTCCTTACCCCAGGTGGCCCCAAATCCCCTCTGAAAGGGTGCAGTTCAGGTATCAGCATCGCCACCTATAAGACTTGGGCTGGGGTAAAGAGGGCATGGAAGGCTTAGATCAAATGTCCTGAGTGAGGCAGGACCAGTTTGTCCCCGACACAAAACGGCTGGGAAGGAGCTACCACGGACTCTCATTTTTGAATCAGACCAGCCCCAGGCCTGAACTGACTGTCCACAGTCCTTGGATTAGTCATAGCACTGAAGAGGAGGAGAAGACAGCACCAGGCTGAGCTTGGCAGGGAGTCTGGAGTTACTGGTTTCTAAAACCATGCAGGCGTCAGCCAGGGGAGGGGCCTCCATGTAGGGGAAGGGCCGGAAGCTGGGGCAGGGCCCCAGGCAGCTGTGCAAGGCTGCGCAAGAAGAGGCAACACAGAAGAGAACAGAAAGGATCCCGATAGCCTCTTGAAACTCAGGAGAGTGGCCACTCCAGCTTTGACCACCTAAGACACCACTCCTGCTCCATTTGTTATTCTGAGCCCTCTGCTTACCCTGTACCCCAAGGATGGAGCCACTGCTAGGAGTGAAAATTGGCTGCCTGTTCGCCACGCTGGTTCTCACTCTGATCTGTGGCCTCATTCCCATCTGCTTCAAATGGTTCCAGACTGATGCAGCCACAGGTACAGCCCTGCCCCATCTTTGTCCCCAGAACCTAAGTCTGCTTCAGCCCTGTCACCCTGTCCTGCTGTCTTGCTCTGATTTTCTCATCATCCTCGAGCTTGGGACATTGGGTGCTGCCTGTGGCTCTTTCCTCACTTTTGTCTATCTCTGCATTGCCGACTGGATCATAACTTCTGCTTTTTATTAGGTCGACACCGCTGGATCCTCAGCCTCCTGGGCTGCACTTCTGCTGGCATTTTCCTGGGAGCGGGGCTCATGCACATGACGGCTGAAGCCTTGGAAGGAATTGAAGCAGAGATCCAGAAGTTGGTGACACAGGTGAGCACCCGAGTTGCTGAGCTGCAGGGCTGTGAAGCCAGAATGATGAACAGAACCAGGGGGGAAAGGGGTAAAAGCAAAGAAGCCCAAGAAATGGAAGGAACGACAAGGAAGATGACAGCTCTTGTGTTGTGTGGAATGATGGAAGCAGGTAAGATTGGGCTGTAAGGAAGGCAGTGAGGCTGACAGGACAGGACAGGAAGCTGAGCTGCTCTCTACCTTGTCTGATGTATGCATTTTTCTCCCTTAGAACAGGACAAAAAGTGAGGGAAATTCTTCTGATGTTGCTGATTCAACTCATGTAAGTATCTCCCACCAGCCCCTACCTGGAGAGCAGGGAGAACCAGAGACTCCTTTCACACCTAGACCCTTTTGAGAGGAGCATGTGTGGAATTCCAGGAATCCCTTCTGCTCCTGACTTACTCATTGTGGAGGAAAAGAGGAGCCACCCAATCCTTTTGGGCTTATAAAACCCTAGAGAGAACTCTTGCTCAACTCTTCCTGTCTTTCTCTGGACCCTTGGACATGCTTCTGTCATTTCCCTGAATGTCTGGCCCTCTTGATTTTGTGTCCCTCAGTCTCTCTGGTATTCTGGTCATACGTCTATGTCTACTCTTGGCTTCATTCTCCTTTTTAAGGTTCTCTTACCACACTTCCCATCCTCTTCAGTCTCCCAGTCCCATGTCCATCCAGTGCAGTTCCTTCCCTTCCCTTCCCACCTTACAGTCCCTCTCTGTTCCTAGATCAAGTATCCCTATGGAGAGCTCATCATCTCCCTGGGCTTCTTCCTTGTCTTCCTTCTGGAGTCACTGGCATTGCAGTGCTGTCCTGGGGCTGCTGGAGGATCAACAGTGCAGGAGCAGCAGTGGGGTGGAGCTCACGGCCTTGAACTCCACAGCCATGGACCTCTACCTCTACCCTCCCGGGGTCCCCTGCGAGCCTTCATCCTCTTGCTCTCACTCTACTTTCACTCCGTGTTTGAAGGTCTAGCTGTGGGGCTGCAGTCCACAGTGGCAGCCACCGTGCAGCTCTGTCTTGCCGTCCTGGCTCACAAGGGGCTTGTAGTGTTCAGTGTAGGACTGCGGCTGGTGCAGAGACACACTGGATCACGTTGGACCATGCTTTCCATAGTGTCCTTAGCTCTCATGTTCCCCCTGGGCCTAGCCCTAGGGCTGGCTGTGGCTGAAGAAGACTCTGAGGCGGGGCAAGGCTTGGCCCAGGCTGTGTTAGAAGGTGTGGCGGCTGGCACCTTCCTGTATGTCACCTTCCTAGAAATTCTGCCCCAGGAGCTAGCAAGTCCTGAGGCCCCTCTGGCCAAGTGGGGCTGTGTAGCTGCTGGTTTTGCCTTCATGGCTGTTATTGCCTTGTGGGCCTGAGAGATTCCTGATTTTTCTGATGGACCTAAGATGACCTTATCCTCAGGAGACACCAACTAAATGACCTTAGCCCTTAGACATTTCTTCACTGAGACAAAGTGACAATCACTAGGCATCATTTCCTTAAACTGGACCCCAGCTTTTCCCTCCATGAGGTCTGATTTCTCATGCTGGACTGAGAAAAGGATCTTTAGTTTGAGCGCCCATAAACTGGAGAATTGATATAAAGATCATCATTTTTGGTCTTTATACTTGACTCTTGTCCCATTTATGCTACTGTGTGTAATAAAATGTCCATTTTATCCTTCCCCTTAAGCCATGCTCCACTTCATTGCTAGAAGCTGCCTGGTGCAGGAGGTGGTGGAGTGGGGAGGCAGAAGGGTGCGTGTGCAGTGCCATCTTCTCTTCTGGAATTGGGCCGCTAGCCATTCTATCCATTGTGGGCCATGCCCCTCAAGACAAGGGAGCATGGCTGAAATTTCAACAGCTCGCTACCACCTTATGCACAGGTGTTGAGAAACTGAGCCAGAGTTCCCGGCACTGAGAGAGAGGAAGTTTTAACAAGAGAAACTATGGGAATCTAGTTGTTTTACCCCTACGCTAACCACACCCATCCCACGCCTACTACCTGTTATCGCCTCCCATCACTGTCCAGCGGGACTCTCGAGATAAGGCTAAATGGAGATGATTTCTACTGGTCCCTGTTTTTCACATTGAACCCTGTATGGCCTCAGGAACACTATTGCTCTTCTCCGAGGCTCTATCTCCTTCCAGCTGCCTTATGCTAAGGGACTAAGAAGCAGTGTGTTTGGAGAGGGAGCAAGGCGCTGGATAAATGCCTGGGGTGATTATTCGGCTCTGCCACGACTTACTGGCTTTCCTACTACCTGACTCACCTGCCCCTGTGGCCCCAGCCCCTTCCTTCCAGACCATTCGCCTTTCGGTTTGAGTAACTCCTACAACATGTTGCTTCTCCTCGAAACTGCTAAGGACATAAGATTGTTTACTATGTCTGCGAGTCTGTTACTGTTTTGTAGATGAGTGCTTCTGGTTACTGGGGGAAGAGGGTGGGAAGGGATAAAATTTGGGGAATTTGAGATTTACAAATGTTAGCCACTATATATAAAAATAGATTTTTTTAAAAGTTTCTTCTGTATAGCACAGGGAACTATTGTCAATATCTTATAATAACCTTTAATGAAAAAATACCAAAATGAATATATGTGTGTATATGCAAGACTGGGACATTGTGATGTGCACCAGAAATTGACACATTGTAATTGACTATACTTCAATTAAAAAAAATTTTTTAACTGCTAATAATAAGTACAGAAACTGATTCTCTGGAGTTGAGGAGCAGCAGGATGTCTGTGGCTCAGCCCCTGAAGTATGAGATGGAGGACTATTTGAGACTCAGTGGAGAAACCGGGAAGAGAAAGGGTGCCCTGTGAGCCCCACCGCTCACCAGTTTGCTCCTTCTCATGTTTTCAGTGCGGAAGCCCAAGTGGCCTTGACATGGACAAAGTCTCCTGAGTTTCATTCTTAGCTCGATCTGTCTCCTGTCCATCCCATTCCCCTCCCCGTAAATTGCAATACTCAAACCTCCTCACAAAACCAGCTTACACACACGGGGGTCAGTGAGAAGACAAACTTCAGACAAAACTGAATAAAAAGGTCTGACATGGGAAAGAACTTCTTTGAAGCACCATCCTACTCTATTTTCCCTTCAGTATTAAATGTTCTCACATGCGATACACTCATCTGTCGTAATAAGAGAGTTTCTACATTGAGCACCTGGCGCTGTACTGTTGCTTTCACATATATTATCTCACCTTCCCGATCCTGCCAGGTAGATATTATCCCTATGATGAGTCTAGGGAAGCCTATTTAGGCAAGTTAAAGAACTTGATCACAGAGCTAGCTGGGCTCCAAACCCAGCTGCTTCTGAGATTTTAAGAAAAGCTCAAGATGTAGATTGCTCCTCTCCTTCCTTACCTTCACCTCCCCATCTCATATGTGAGGGTCTTAGAAGGAAACAGAGAGCGCATTGGGTAAGTGAGGCAAGTTTAGTAAAGGGAGTATGTAGAAAGGTGAGGGCAGGATTTGGACAGAGCGGCAGGGGTGGGGCAATCCTCTCGACTGAGTATAACAATGCCATTACCGAGGCTGGCGAGAGGAAGCGCTTACCAGAAACTCATCCAACACGAGCCGTGGCCTCAGCAGAGGGATACAGCCAGCCTTCGGGGACTCGACCAGGAGGAAGCCAGAGGCATACCCTCACTCTCTTCTACTCTTTGACCTACTGCCAGTGTCTCTTGTTGGCCATACCCAAACAGAAGCCAAGGACAAAAATGTCTGTTGGCGCATTGCAGATAGCTCAGCCTCATGAGACACAGCTCATGAGCAGTCTGGAGGGTCAAACAGAAAACGTTCCACACACCATCGATCCTCTGCTGCTTTCAACTCAACAATCTTCCCAGGACTCTGAAAGGGAATTGGAAGCAACACCATTATGTGGGAAATTAGAGGGCTATTTCTGGTACAGGGGATTTGTATGACTCCAGAAAGGAGACTTGAGGAGAAGCACATTAGACTCCGGGACTCTTCATATGTTTCTGGGTCACTGATGCTATCAGCATTTGAGGTCAATGAGCTGAGGCTGGGAGGTTTCAAGCCTGGTTGCACTTTTTGCCTCCTCCCATCTCAGGAGCCTTTAGATTCCCCTTCAGCCTCCTTTGCATTCAGCCATCCTTCCCTCAACCATTTCCTTTTCCTTTTCAAAAATCCTTATCAACCAGGACCGGAACCACCTTTACTTCGAACCATATTGTATCCAGAGCTGGAAGAAAGCTAGAGAATGCTGCGTAGAGAGGGCACCAGGGTCCGGAAAAGGAACAATCTTGATCACTTTCCAAAGCTATGAATCCCCAGCAGGGAGCCAGAGAGGGCTATAGTGAAACAGAAGACGAACGTGATTTCTGAATGAGCTTGAAGTGAGGAAGAATGGAATAAGAACAGGCAAGGAAGAGAAACACGGGACAAGGAAAGGCTGAGTTAGCTGGGCCGTGGTGGCTAGAAGACAGATTCAGGAGAGCACCTTGCTTCCAGGAGAGATAGGTTGTAACTGAAGAAAATTAGAATCATGAGAATTGAAAAATAAAAACAGGAGTGAAGATATGCAGGTTGGGAAAATGGATAAGAGGAGAAGCCAGTTGGAATAGTCACAAGAGAATTTACATGGAACAGTTTCCAAGTCTTCTCAATTCCTGTGCCCCTTCCCCACCCCTCATTCTCTACGCTACACATGTATTTTTTATATATTTAAACAGAACAAAATGAAAGAATGAGACCTCCAACTGCCCTCCCACTCTGAGCCAGCTTTCTATTTTTGCATAATAAATGATTCTCTGAAGCAACCCTCTGGAGCTCCCAGCTTTTCCTTTGCTTACAGCCTGAGGGTTGGGTTTGGATATTGCAGGTATAAGATGGTAATTTGTGAAGAAAGGGAGATGGGGAACAGCATCAAAGAGGAACCAGAGTTCAGTGAATACCCCCGAGCCAGATGCGAGGCCAGTCAGAGACCATCACACATGAACAAGAAACACCCAGGAACTAAAATGGAAGAATGCCAGGCTCATTCCTGTGGGATAATTCATGCCACTGTGCCCCTCCCCTGAAGGACAGTTTTCCAGTGTCTTGCCTCCCTCACCCTACGAAATGGTCCCTTGCTCCTGGCTCTTGGGGATAGAGTACAAAAAAACGGCTGCAAGACATGAAGGTGGCTGGTACGTGTGTCAATCCCCAGACGCCCTCACATCCCTCCCGTCCCCCGTTCCTCCCCTCGCCGACCTGAGGGAGGAGCCGACGGCCACGAGCAAAGATGAAGCGAAAGGGGTGCAGACAGCAGTTACACCCCTGTCCCCCTGCCCGAGTCCGCAGGGATGCTTAAAGACATGAGTTGTCAATTCTTTCCTTTTGATTTCAGCTTTGTTCTGAGTTACGCTCTTTAGATTTGTTAAGTATCAGAAACAGAAAACATTCCCCTTTTTACTGTATATTTATCCAATTGGGAAATTCTGATGTTGGTGAGGAGAGAGGGTATAAGCGGCTTCCATTGCCCTGGGCACTGTGTACCCTGACTACACGCCTGGCCTCTAGTCAGAATTGACTCTCACTTTCCAGTTAGTCCTAAAACCTGTCTAGAAAGGTGGCATCTCCCACTCCATCCCTCTCCCTGACCACTAGTGGAGCACTCTCTAAAGCTCAGTGTCTACCCTCCTGCCACAGGTTCACTGTTTTGTGTGTTCCTTCAGAGAATCACCCTTTAATATCTCTTTATGAGTTCCAGAATTTTCAAGCTGACGCCACAAGGCTCTCATCACTGTGTTCTTCTGGTTTTAATCTCCTTACCATTGCACCCTTGCTTAGCTATCTTGGGCTTCTGTCCCTAAAGTCAGGGAAACATTCCTTGAGAACGAGAGGAAGAGAAAAAACAGAGTCCCAGGCCTGAAACCGAGACAAAAAGGAGGTAGTTTGTGGTTCACCTTCTATAAAGTCACCCACCCTCTCATCTGAGCCTCTGATCCAGAGCATGGGCAGGAGCCACAGACCACAGCTGACCATGGTATCAAGCCCTTCCTACATACCTACATACTTAGCCCATCGCTAGGATCATAAACAACAGGAGATTTAGGAAGAGACCTGGGAGCTGGAGAAAATTAGGAAGAACCATGCCAACCACAAGAGGGCACTGCATCCCCATGGGCTGGCCTGGAACGTGCAGGATCAACAACGAAGAGGTCAGACAAGGACAGCAAAACCCCTCTCCTTTGCTCCCGGCAGACAGCATCTCCCCCTCAACCTCGCCCCTGGGTTTCTTATAGATGCAGAGACAACCACCGGAGACACACACAATCCCCGCTCATTTCACACATCACCTCCGTGGCAGACACATACACGTGCTCTCATATATGTACACACAAATGTAATTTACTCCCTCCTCTGAAGATGACCCTGCTAACAGTGTATCTGTGTAGGTAAATGTACCAAGAGGACCTGCCTTCCCTTCCTTAACATCCAACAGCAGCTGTTGCCAGTCAAGTCTGAGTTCTTTGCCTTTTTCTCGTGTTTTGTTTATCTACGAGCTAGCTGGTCCAATGATTCCAATTATGGTGTTTCTTTTCTTTACTGTGGCACTTAAGCACTCTTTGCTGCCTGCCCTGCGTGTGGTTACCCAACACTCTCGCCATCAATAGCTGCCTCTGTAACCCTGCTGGTCACCTAATACCGCCCCCTTCTGATCCTAGCCTATGGCATTTCAAATAGATTTGGTCCTGTGAGAGAGTGAGGAAACACTCAAGATTTAAGAACGTATTTCAGAGGGGAGGGTAGAGCTCAAGTGGCAGTGCTCATGCTTAGCATGCACAAGGTCCTGGGTTCAATTTCCCAGTACCTCCTTTAGAAATAAGTAAACCTGATGACCTTTCCCCCCCAAAAAAAATTTTTTTAAAAGGACATATTCCTTGCCCCACTTCCATGTCAGTGTGTCAGCATCAGACGCCAAGCTGCATTAGTCCTCGGCCCCGTTCCACTGAGGAGAGTATGAATGCCTGTGCCTGTGGGGTTTCTATAAAGTAGGCTGGCCAGTGACCTTGCAATATTCCATCTGCAGTCGTCTTGCCATTAACGCTGTCAGGTGTTTTCTCGTTTTTCCTTCTTGTTCCCCAAGAGCCCAAGAATCAGCCTGCAATAGCCACAGAATATCTGAAGTCCTCTTGATGATTATTGCTCATACCTGAAAAGCTGCTCTGAGAACCACAAAGATAGTCTAGTTAATTCCCTGAGCTCTGGGATTCCAGGGGGAGGAGAAATTCGAGAGAAAACCCTTTTTGCTGTGACTCTCCTGAAGGAGTCTTCACATTGGGAGCAACTACGAGCAACACAACCCCTCTAGTAACTGCACGAGGCCTGCTCTCCTGACTATAATGAGCCACCCGAAGTGGAACTTAGGTGACCTTCGGAGGATCCTGCTGGAAAATGAGTCACGAGATGCCCTTAGACACTTCAGTAGGCTTTCTGCATTTCCTTGTGGTCATGATGTTGGTGACATCTCTGAAATCCTACAGCATTTTTCAATGATCCGTCCCACTGATAAGGAAACCTAAGATCTGAGGAACTCCTCCTGCCCAAACTTGAAAATACTAGCCACATAGAGGACAATCCCATTCTGTTGGAATAGGGACCAGCGACTATGTCACCACACTTCGTGAAGCGTCTGTGCTCCATAAACCCTCTAGCATGGTTTTTGTCACTTTGAGAAGAGAATGTGAGAGCTGGGCAGGGAGAGGGCAGGAAAGGGGGGCGTGAGGCAGACATACTCTGACAAAGAAGAATTACGGTGCTCAGATTCCTCTACAGTTTATTGTTACAGCAGTTGTGGGAGACAGGAGGGCACCCTGCACACAGCACACACTGTGGTCAGAGCCCCGAGGCAGCCCCTCCCACCCCTATGCCGAGCCCCAAGCAGCCCTGCCCTGCGTGGCTCCCTCCCCCTTCCCACTCTAGACACACAGTACAAGACAGCTACTGAAGTTAGTGCAGCCAGTGGCCCCAGGCCCCCTCCTACTGCCCAGCTCCAACCCCTCCCGCCTGCTGGTTCACCGCCTACCTCCTCCCATTCCAACTTCCGTTTCCACACTGAATGTTTCAGTCACATCCTGAGGACCACTAACCCACCAGCAAGCCTCCCCGTCACACATTCGTTTAGGCCCAGACCCTTCAGATGGCTGAAGGATTCATGAGAAGCCGTATCAGCTTTGGTGAGTGGAGCCCCAGACCCAAGCCCCTTACCCTTGCAATACGAGATGCGGAGGGAGAGTCTGGTGGGGGCCCCGCGGATGACAACAACCTCCTATATCCCTTAGCTACAGACACCTGGATTAGGGAGAGGGGATACATGCCTTCTCCATCTTAACACCAAAATGAGACAGAGGGATAATTTACGGGTCTGGGTCCCTAAGAGATATTAGGACCGCTCTCCCAGGAGCTGAGGGGAATCACAGGTTAGAGGTCAAGGTTAAGGTAGCAATCAAAGATCAAGGTCATCTCCCCACATGATCTGCCCATCTTCCTTTGCTCACTCTGGCCCAGTGCTCTCTGCACCTCCCAGGTTAGTGCTGGGGGAGGTGAGGGCTGGGTCCCACACCAGGGCAACAAGGGTCATTCAACAGGAGACCTCCATGGTGTGCCCCGGGGGCCCTGAAGGGAGAGTCCCAGACTCGCTGCTCTGGGACAGTGTGCGAGAACGGGACCGGTTGCCATCAACGGATGCTGCACTGGTCAGGGAGGCTGTGCGAGACCGGGACAGGCGAGTCATACAGGATGAGGCCACTGTGGAGACAGCAGAATAAGCAGGCAGTCAGAGAGGAGCGGGAAGAGAGCACAGCCACTCAGAGTGGGGCGCTTAGGTGGAGAGGAGTGTTACATGGGGCCAGGTCCATGAGCTTGTTTTGGTAGATGGTGGTAAGTCTGGGAATTAGCCTAAAAGGGTTCCTCCCCCTCAGTGCCCATCCCTCTTCCTGTGCAGCAACCTCTTGTCCTCACGACAGCCTCTGACCCCCATACTCACTGTAGCCCATGCCCTGCAGGAAGTACTTGAAGGCCTCCGTCAGCTTGCCTGGCTGCGGGAGTAAAATGAGCAGAGAGAGAGAGAGCGAAGGGTGGTTAGAAGCTGAGCTGGAGCCCCAGGCCGTGGCAGGTTAGAGACAGGGTGTGTGGCGAAGGGTCTCATTCAGCGCCACTAATAGCCCATCCCACGGATGGCAGGGACACTCACCTGAGTCAGCTGGGGCTGACCTCCGGAGTCAGCCATCTGTTCAGGAGAGCGCCATCCGGAAAAAGTGATACGCATGTAAATACAATGAGCCATACCAAGAGGCAGACAAGGATCTCTCTTCCCCAGGTTCCCCTCTCCAGGCCTTCAGGGTGGTTTTGATTTTCTGACTCCACCCACCCACCTGTTCCCACGCAGGATCCTGGAAGCCTACAAGCTCAGTCTAGAGAGGATCTATGGCTCGGGACAAGGGGCCAGGAGTCAGGCCGCGTAGGGAGTAGGGTTACTGACCTTGAGGAAGGAAGTCTGAGTGGGGTCCAGTTTTGAGTTACATTCCACCTGGAGTGAGTAGGAGGCTAAATGAATGAGGTAACACTCCCTGGGGCCCCTCCCATCCAAGGGACCAGGGTCCCAGACCCCAGATCCTTTCTCGTCAGCAACCTACCCATTTCCTTTTTACCAGAAATCAACCTCTCATATCCCAAAGTTGCTCTCCCTGACCCAAACAGACCTTGCCTCTTGGCAAGATACACCTCTGACTGCCACCCTAGGACTGCAACCCTCCCTCACCCACCCCAAAATCCCCTACTGACCACTGCATCTTCATGGGGTGCTTGGTCTCCTACCACCAGCATCACAGGGCACCTAGAGGCATAGTGTCGGCGAGCAGGCAGTGAGCCCCTGGCACTCCCTCCCCTGCCTCTTCCCAGAGGAGCAGCTGGAAAACGTTGGCTCCAAAGAGGAAACAGCCTTCTGAACGCTGCCAACCCCACCAAGAAGGTTCAAAGGGGGGTGGGGACCTATAGGGTGGTGACTTGCTAAATAGGACAGGGTGGGAGATGACAAGAAAATTCCCTGGGAAAAGGATGTAAGCACCTAGGAAAGGCCTAGGGAGAGAGGCAGATTTATCCCTAAGTCTTACTTGAGGGTGATGTCGCCTCCACGCTCAAAGTTCAGGTCTCGGCGGCTAAAGAGGGTTTAAAAGAAGAGTAGGAATTTCAGGAAAGCAGTGCTATCCATCCAGATAGAAGCTCTCTTCCCCCATGAGAAAGCTACCTTCCTCCCCCAAATTACAGTCAAATATTGATGATTACAAGTGGGAACCGAAGGAGAAGGCGGCCGACAGGCCTCAAGCATGAGCCCTATGGTCATTTGTGCCCGAGGTCCCTGGTCACAGGGCAGTGAAGGAGACAGAAGAGCACGAGGACATGAGATCGTCTTACTTCCGAGAATCCAAAATCTAAGGAAGTAACAGGAGAGAGGGGGCCGGCTCCTCACGATTCTCCCCCCAGCGTCTGTCCCGCAGCTGCCCCAGCTGCACACCAAATCCCACCCACTCACTTGTTGTAGCTGTTCCAATACAGTTC